CGAGCGGCAAAAAACAAGGATGAAGGTGTGCCTGACCCAAGCCATGGGATTCCCCGTCGCCTCCTGGGCCTGTGACAGCTGGACACGAAGGAGACCACAGACAGGGCCAGGGGCTGCCAAAGACAGACAGCCTGTCTTGGAAGAGGTACGGCTAGAGTGCTCCTCGGAGACAAAGATGGGGGGGCTTCCTCTCAGGTACTTTGGACATGCTGTCAGGAGGCCGGTCCCTGGCGGTGCAGAGGAAGGCCGAAGGCCGTCGGCGGGATGGGCTGCCACAGTGGCTGCCACACGGGTTCACATGTAAGGGCAGTTGTGAGGCTGGCGCAGGGCCGGGCAGTTTCGCTTTGTTGTGCATCCTCAGGCCCCAGGAGTGGGAGCCTAGTGGGCAGCACTGACCCACAAGGCCTGAACTGCCCACAGAGACACTGGCGGGGCTTAGACCCTCTCGTCATAACCACCTATCTCCCCCTTCCACATCCATCAGCAGCAAACCCCACCACCCATCTTATTATATAGAATGTCTTCAACCAAAGGAGCCCCTGGTGGACAGGTCAGCAGTTCGAAACCACCAGCAGCTCCTTGGGAGCAAGATGAGGCTTCCTGCTCCGGGAAACATGGGCAGCCTCAGAAACCCACTGAGGGCAGCTCTACCCTGTCCTGTGGGGCCTCCATGAGTCGGAATTCCCTCGAGGGCAGGTAAGTTTTTGGTTTGGTCTCCGATCAGATAGACACGACTTCTTCAAGTTTACTTCAGCATCCCTTGTGCTCACAGTGAGTGAAGGTGTGCTGAAGGGGGAGAATTCTGTTGCTGGGCGGTGACACTATACGTTACAAATATGTGCACCAGGCAGTCGGCCAGAAGAGCCCACGAGCTGGAAGGTATCTTGATCGTTCGCCACAGCCCGCCCCAAAGACCCCAGTCTGGGGGTTCTGAGAAAGAAGGTGCCCTCTCTTGAAAGCTTCTGGGTCTCTGGGCTCCTCAGGGAAATAGACCCGGCCTGGTCTTGTCCCTTGGCTGTTGTGCTGTTGGGGAAAGCGCGTTGCACACAGCAGACGGGAACACAGCTGGTCCGGCACCGCCCTCACAGCTATTCTTTGAGCCCAATTGGGGGCCATGGCATCAACCCTTTTAGGGGTCAAGCTTTCGCCACACACGACGCAGGCTGCCGTGGAGGCAAATCTGACTAACGCCTGGAGACGGGTTCGGGACGGTAAATCTTTACGGGCGCAGGCAGCCTCATCTCTATCCCGTGGAGCGGCTGGTGGATTTCAACCGCCAACCCTGTAGTTAGCAGCCCGATGCTTAACCCACAGTGCCATTGGCCACGAGACTAAAAACCTATGTCCCTGGAATGGCTTGAAATGGATGCTCACAGGCACCGCTCAAACCCCAAAGGGCGACATGGGGCCAGGCGCAGCCCCTGGGAGCAGCAGCGTAACAGGAAACCAAAGGGCGGGGTCCCGAGACTTTAACTCACTGCAGGAGGAGACAGCCTCACCTTCCGCCCGTGGCTCAGCTGGTGGATTCAAACCCCTGGCCTTGTGGTTAGCGGCTCGATGTGTAGACCACTATGCTGCCAGGGCTCAGCTGGTGGGTTAGAACCGCTGACCCGTGGTTAGCAGCTCAGTGGGTAACCTGTGACACCCCCAGAGCTCCTAACCAGGTCAGCCCTCTGCAAGGGATCCCAGACTGGTCTGCGCCTTCGGTGGAAGCAGTCAGTCACCTCACTGGTCCAGGCAGAGATGCTTCCCCCCAGGTCCACCTCCACCTTCCTGGGAGGACCCAGCACCTCTTCTACAGGAAACCCCTCGCCCTGGTGGTGCTGTGGGTCGGGCGCTGGGCTGCCGAGGGCAGAGCCAGCAGTTCACACCCACCACCTGCTCCTCGTGGCAGCAGGACGAGGCTGGGCGGCCTGGGACACCCTCGGGGCAGTTCTGCTCTGTCCTGCAGGGTCCACCTCAGTCAGGATCGCCTCGAGAACAGTGGGGGAGCATCTGCAGCTGCTCTGCGGGAGAAAGGTGGGGCCATGTGCCCCCCTCGGACACCTTACACGGGGTCACTGGGAGTCAGACTCCACCGGATGGCCGTGGGCTTGTGCACAGCAGACAGGGTTTTGGGTTTAGGAATCTGTTATCTTCGAGCAAGGACAGCTATTCAGCACTGTCGCCTGCCTTTGCTCTGATGCCTGGGCGTGGTAACTTTGACAACCAGAGGACTGTGCAGGCCCCGACTGATCAAATGCTCTACTTGCCTAGACACCCGTCTCCCTGGAGCCTGTTTCCCCGTTCGGTCAGTGCGTCCACTGCGACAGCATCTCCTGTCTGCTGTGGAGTCCATTCAACTCACAGGCACCGAGGGGACAGAGCAGGACAGCCCCAGGGGCTTCCGAAACTGTCCTCTTAGGAAGACAGGGGCGTAAGGCCAACTCGTTTCTCCTGCAGAGCATGGGGGCCTGTGGACTCTGGCCCGACCTCGCGCTTTAGCCACTGGGACCCTAGGGCTCTCGATGTTTTCCAGAAAAGGGAAATCCTTTAAAGAATCACATCTACTTTAACACGTGGCCCACAGACGGCCTTTTTAACCGTCCTTTTCCTCAAACTCCCCTGCCTCTGCCGGCGCGTGGGCTGCGAGCTCACCAGAAATCCTTCCCGCAGTCCATGCACGACAGGCACCGGCAGCTCCTGCAGGCGGCCACGTGCTTCTCCACCTGCCCCTTCTTCACCGACTCACCGCACGCGTCGCAGGTGAAAAACACCATGGTGAGCCGAGTGGGGGGCTCTGGCCTTGTCCTGAGAGAGAAAAGGGGTCGAGACTGTGACGATGGCCGGAACCGGCTGCACCACCCTGACAGCCAACTTGGCAACCACACCCAATCCCACCCGCAGACAGACGACTCCACCTGGCAGAGGTGAGCAGGTAAGAGCCGTCCAGGGGAGTCAGCGCCCAGCCCAGCAGGGACGGGCGGCAGTTGGGGCGAAGGCCTGCTGTGTCTGCGCTGGCCCGTTCTCAACACGACTCTGTGAGGACAGTCGGCACGGGGCAAACCGGGACCAGAGAGGTCAAGATATTTGCCCAAAGTCACACAGGCGCACAACCAGGCTAGCTTTTGAAGTGGGAGACCTTTGTGTGTTAAGTAAACTATCATATTTTTGCTAGTAATAATTAAAAAGAAAAAGCCAAACCAGAAAACTCACTGCCATTGAGTTGATCCTGACTCACAGCCACCCGTCAGGACATAGTCGATGCTCCCTTGGGTTCCCAAGGCTGGAAACCTTGATGGGGAGTAGAAAGCCTTACCGTCGTCATCTTCCTCCTCTCTCACTAACAACCATAAGCTATAGACAGACCAGAGGAGGCCCTGGTGGCGTCACGGGTTAGGCGTTGGGCTACTAAGCATAGGGTCAGCAGTTCGACCCCACCAGTCCCTGCATGGAGAAAGGGGAAGCATCCTGCTCTCAAGAAGGTTTATGAGCTCAGAAAACCAGAGGGCCAGTTCTAATCTATCCGATGGGGTCCTTATGAGTCACAGTCAATTTGATGGTGGTGAGTTTTGGTTATGAACTAGGGTGTGTGCCCACATACCTAAATAAACCTAAGTAAATAAATCAGAGGGAATTCCAAAAGAGTTCGCCAACAACTGGAATTAAGACGATGGAATCCTCCCCACCCCACCACGAGCTCCTTGAAGCCTAACGTGTACGTCGGATCTAAATGCCTGTCGCTTTGTCGGACTGCGGTGGCTGCGGTGCTGCTTCAAGCTGTGTCGCTGATAGATCCAACACCAGCAGGGTCCCCCACAGTGCACAGGTGTGAGCGGAGTGTCCAGATTCAGAAAGACTAGGAAGACAAGGCCACGGTGAGCCAATGCCAACAAAAATTAGATGTTGAGAAGCGTGTGGGTCACAGTGGAACACTGGCCACACCAGGGGAGCACCGCATGCTTAGGCAGGTCTCCAGGAAGGGTCAGTCGCCAGCGAGGGTGACCCTCAGTGACATGGACTCAACCTGCCGGCACTGTCTCCTCTTGTAAACAAGGTCGCCACCATGGGCTGGCTGCACACATCCATCCCCTCCCTCACCTGTAAGTGAACACAGAGCTCGGCCACTGGCAATTCGCACGTTCGGCTAGCTGCATGGCCCCTAGTGGAACAGCAGCTGAGGCAGCGGCCGGTGGGCCGGAACTGAGGGAGATGAATGATAAAGTGGAGAACCAAACCCACTGGCCGAGAGTGGATCCCGACCCGCAGGGCCCCCAGGGGAGGTTTCCAAGGCTAGCCCATCTTTCTCCCTTGGGGTGGCCGGTGGGGTGACGTGTGGACACCGTGGGGAGCGTCCACAACATCCCTATAGGCCTGTGTGTGGGCGTGCCCGTGGTGGTTGAGACTCGCCTTGCCCAGGGTGTGCAAGGGGAGATGCGTACCTTCACTCCCACTTGGTCAGAAATAATTGCCCCACCCGACCCCCACATCTGAGGCCCCCAATGGCTGGTGTTCCGGAATCCGGGTGTCCTGAGCACCGCTCTGGAAGAATTGGGGCCCCACACACATAGCCAGCAACGGATACTGTCCCAGCTGCCGAGCTGGAGCCGACTTGATGGCAGTGGGTTTGGTTCTGTTCCGATTCATGGTGACCGGATAGCACAGGGATGAACTGCCCTTGTGGGTTTCTGAGACTACTCTGTGCGCGTAGAAAGCCTCGTCTTTCTCCTGCAGAGCGGCTGGTGGTCTTGAACTGCTGACGGCGGTGGTTAGCAGCCCAACACAACCCACTGTGCCACCGAGAAAAGGGGAAGAGGAGCAGCCCCAGAGACAGGAGGCCAAGGAACCCCAAGACCACTAAGCTGGGAGGCGGGGCCCACACAGCCAGGATCCTGTGGGGCGAGCCAGCACCCTTCTTTGAAGACACCCACCCACCCACCAGTGGGATTTGTCAGGGCAGCCACAGAGACAAGGACCAGGGGCTGGCAAACTGCGGGGCACAAGTACACATGGGTCGAAATAAAATTGAAAAAAATGGAAAGGATTTATGATACCGACAATGGTAATTTCATGTGTGTCTAAAATACAGGTGTATGGCTCTCCAATAGTAAATTTGCTAAGCCCGGGGTAAGACGCTGGGACTCACCACGCAGAAGCAGCGCTGGTCAGTTGAAAGACTCTCCAGTGTTTTATAAGGAGCATCATCGTCTAAGTGCAGGGCCCGTCGTGATGAGCCTGAACCGACTCGCCAGCAACGGGCTCCTTCTCTGAAGCAGCTCATCATCAAGGGCAAACCCCCTTTACCCATGGGGATGGCCCAGAGCACCCCAACCTTGCTGCTGAGATCCCCCAGCGGGAGGTCGAGGGGAGGCTCCCCAGTTTCCCATTCCAGCAGGGTAGGGCAGGCATCCCGCAGTGCCTACAGCAGTGGTTCTCAACCCGTGGGTCTCGACCCTTTGGGGGTTGAACAACCCTGATTCATCACAAAATGGCAGTGATGAAGTAGCAACGAAAATACTTTTATGGTTGGGGGTCCCCACCACACGAGGAACCATATGAAAGGGTCGCAGCATTAGGAAGGATGGGAACCACTGGCCTAGAGGGACGGTGGCAAGCACAGCTTAACAACTGAGGGAAGCCAGGGCTGTTGGCAACGTGGCTGCAAAACAGGCCGCCCCAGGGACTGAGCTGCTCGCTGACTAAACATCGACCCAGGAGAGGATTTGGACTTGGCCGCTGGGAAAACACTTTGTAGCAAGTGTTCCCGGTTAGATATTTGAAGTCTGAGAGCAAGATGGGATGCTGCCATGCCTGCTCAGCGGGCTAATGACACAGACAGTAAGGAGCTCCACACAAGACCCCAGCTGCCCCTCTGTGAGGAGCTGGCCCTCACATATTTCCTATGGTCTTAGGAACTGAGACACCGCACCTCTAGTCTCCGGGTGGGTCAGTCCAGATGAGTGCCCGGTGTGAAGACTGTTACCCACGCTACACCATGCTTCAAGACAAAATTTCACTTGTCATTAGAAATACTTCACAATATACATGCTTTTGTGATTCATCACTATGCTTTAATTATCTTCAATTTGTAACAATGAAAATACATCTTGCCTATCAGATATTTACACGACGATTCATAACAGTAGCTAAATTACAGTGATGAAGTAGCAACGAAAGTAATGTTATGGTTGGGGGGGTCCCCACCACATGAGGAACTGTATGAAAGGGTCGTGGCGTTAGCAAAGTTGAGAACCACAGCCCTAGGTGGTACCCTGGGTTAAGCATGGAGCTGCCAGCCAGGAGGACGGAGGTGTGAGCCCCACACAGCGGGCTCAAAGGGGAGGTGGTCTGCTGTTTCGGTAGAGATCCATGGCCTCCCCCGGGGAGAGGCCCTACTGTCTGCGAGGGTGGAGGCCCAGTCAGCTGAACGGCAGCAGCTTTTTTAGCGGGAAAGGCCTTGCTTCAAGAAAATGAGGGAGGCACGAGTCAGCCACTACACTGCTATGGAAACCCGCAGGGCGCTGACACAGAATGGAACCATCACTAAGGGGCTCTGTTTCTTTCTGCTCCGGCCCTTATTAAAGCTATGTTAGGGCTGCGGGTGTGCAGGACTGCAAAGTCAGCAGTTCAAAACCACCAGCTTTCTACTCCCTTGAAGACTGACAGTCTCTGAGCCTCACAGGGGCAGTCGCTTGGAGTCAGCATCGACTCCCTGGCCGTTTTGAGTTCTTTTTAAACGTCCCAGAATGCCCGTCTACCTGCAAGATGGGTCATCTATCTACCTCCGAGGGCAGTGTGAAGCTAAAGTATGAGTGTTCCCCACTGGGACAGGTCCCAGACCAGCCCAAGCGCCTTCAGGGGCGGAATTCTGACTGCAGGGCAGGGCAGCAGGGCAATCATCCTGCCTGCACCCCGGAATGCGGGGTCGACAGGGTTGCAGTGTGCATCCCCAGAAGCCCCTTCCCCTCCTTGCAGAAGTTCTAGGGGACAGGTATCTGATCCTCAGCTAGCACACTGACGGACGAATGGGGTGCCCCATCCATCACGCGCACTGCTTTCGGCGCCAAACCTTCTCCAACAAAAAACGCAAACACCTACTATGTGCCAAGCGCTGTCCCAGGTTGAGTCCTAGTCCTGGGAGTTAGGGTCTGTGATTGAGTCCTTGCGCACAGAAGAGGGAAGCGGTGAAATAAACCAGGCGCCAGGTCGGACATCCACTTACTTCGTTGCCCCCCAACCCGTGCTCTCTGCCAGCAAGCGCCCCCCAGGCTATTTCCTAAGAGGCCAAGTCTCCCCAGACCCCGAGGGGAGTAGGGCCTGGTCCCCCACGTGCAGCAAAGCCAGTCCAGCTGTCTGCCCTGGGCTGGGCGCCTCCTCAAAACGCGGGCATCCCTCCTCCAAAGCGGGAGTGACGTGCTTGTGGCTGCACAAGGGATCGGCCCCGGAGCGCCATGTGCCGAACGACGAAAGCTCCGAGGAGCCACGCTCGGTCCGCGGCACGAGTGAGACCTGAACGCAACGCGTGCCCCGCGCTCCCCGGGGTGCAAGCGCCTGGCGCGGTCGCCCCTGATGAATGGGAGGCAGGCGACAGCCGTGCCGCCCCTACACTCCGCTCCCCTGAACCTCAACCGCCTCGGCCGGACCCTGGGCTTTAGTCCCCTTACCTCTTGGCCGCCGCCCGCCAACGGTTTCAACCGGCCGCCGGGAGCACGTGGGATCGCCGCCGCCGCCGCCGCCGGCCGCGCAGCCACCACCTCCCGCCTGGCTCCCCAGCGAAGAACGCAGCTTCCCGCCGCCGCGCGCCCCAGTGCGCCTGCGCGGAAGCCGCAGCGGAAGTGACGCAGCGGAAGCCGAGGGGCGGGCCCGGTGGATCCGGGGACGCTGTCGGGATGGTTCCGCCACCCACAGTGCCCGGCGGGCGGCGCGTGGGGACCGGTGGGTCGATGTAGGGGCGGCGGCGGGGAGGACGCGACCTTTAAGGGTAAGGCGGCGGCGGGAATCCCGCACCCTAGGGCGCTGCGGGGTGAGTGGCAGGCTGTCTGCCGCCACCGTGGGCCGAAGGGGACCCGGGACGGACGCCGGGGGCAAGGCGGACGGGGCACCCAGACCTTGGCCGGGCCCCTGCAGCCGGAGCATCGCGGAGCTTGAGCTTGCTCGCCCGCCTGGCCTCTGCGCCCCTCCCCGCCGGGGGCATGTCTGGGGGGATGTCGTGCGGCGCTCAGTAGGACCCCGGGAACGTGAGGGCCCCTTCCAGAGGCGCTGCCGTTAGCCAGCAGGTTGCGGATTCAAACCCACTAGGCTCTGGTTGGGGGACCGGGGAAGGCGCGTTCAAGTTCTGCAAACGCTCTGGAGCCCGGCTGGGTCCCCTCGGGTCGCTGTGAGCCGTCTGATACCCGCCGCCCCGGCTCAGTGCTTCACCCATCTCTCTTCACTGCAGTCCAGCCAGTCCGACTCTAGCGACCCAAGCGGGACCCTACAGGACAAGACAGAACTGCTCCTGTGGGTTTGCAAGGCTGTTTACGGGACTAGAAAGCCTCATCATAAGGAGAGCGACTGGTGGCTTCAAACTGCCGACCTTGTGGTTAGCAACGTGTAACCCACCGTGCTGCTTCCACAACGCAGGGCCTGAGTTCTTTCCTCAAGTTCTTGCAGGGCCTGAGTTCTTTCCTCAAGTTCTTGCCGTTTGAGCCATGCTGAGCGAGCTCTGTTTTGGTTTTTTGATCCCCATGTCTGCACACCTATTTCTTTATAATACTTTACTTTTTCAACTGCTTGAACTGTCATGTGAGGTTTTCTGTTCCCTTCTCTTCACTATTTATTCCACTCAATTTTAGGTCCTCCGGGACCGTCAGAGTCTCACCCAGCATTCACTGTGGTCTTCGCATCCATCATTTACGTGAGCACACCGTTACGGGCCCCTAACATGCAAACTAGTGGTGTTCTTAGCCTACTGGTGACAGGGCCTTCACGGTAGCATCCTTGCTTTTCAACACCCCAAAGAGGTCTTCTGCAGCAGATTTACCCAATGCCATACTTGCTTTGCTCTCTTGAGTACTGATTGTGGATTCAAGCCAGGTGAAATCCCTGAAAATGCCCGTCTTTTTTTCTGTTCATCATGTTGGCCCCTCTGTGAGGGCTTTGGTCATCCTTACATTGAGTTGTCATCCACACTGACGGCTGCACTCTTTGCTCTTTATTAGCAAGTGCCTCACGTCCACCCTTTCAGCAAGTGAGGTTACTGCAGACTCTCACTAAGCCTTCCTCTGATCCTGATGCCACACTCTTCCTCATATGAGCCCGATTCTCTGATGATTTGCTCAGCATGTAGATCGAACAAGTCTTGTGAGAGGATACAACTCTGACGCACACCTTTCCTGATTTTAAACCGGGCGCTGTTCCCTTGTTCTGGTCACACAACTGCCTCTTGATCCATGGACAAGTTCCACATGCGCACAATGACGTGTTCTGGGATTCCCATTCTTGTTAAGGCTGCCCGTAGTTTGTTATGCTTGCTAAAGTGGAGGGGCAGTGAAAACGTGGAAGGCCCTCAATGAGATGGATCGACCTAGTGGCTGCAACAGTGGACCCAGGCGTGGGAACAATTGTGAGGATGGTACAGGACCGGGCAGTGTTTTGTTCTGTTGTACATAGGGTCGCTATCAGTCAGAACAACACAGGGTGCCCTAGTGTTGGGCTGTTAAGCACAAGGTCAGCAGTTCAAAGCCACCAGCTGCTCCTTGGGTGAAAGATGTTGTTTTCCACCCCCGTAAAGCGTCACAGTCTAGGATAGGCACGGGCAACTCTGCCTTGCCCAGTCGGGTCACTGTGAGGTGGAAAGGACGCACTGGCAGTGAGTGTGGATTTGGTGTGGAAGGCAAACGTGCCAATGGAGAGGGGCACGAGCTGAGGACCCGTGGAGCAGGCTCCATGGAACAAACATCCGCAATCCTGTCGTGAGATGTGTGATACGTTTGAGGCGTTGCCCCACCCGACAGGGCATGTGCTCCCTGGGCCCTCCCCTGAAGTTAAAAACACACTGGGTTTGCTTCTCCTGACTCTTGTTTAGAACCCCAGGGGTGGGGTGGGGTTCAGTGGTTAATGTCCTTGGCATCTGACCAAGAGGTTGGTGGTTCAAAGCCTCCAGCCACTGCCCCGGAGAAAGACGTGGCTGTGTGCTTCCACGTGGACCCACAGCCCCGTGACCCCTGTGGAGCGCTCTGCTCTGCCCTGCTGGGACACCATGAGTGGGAAACTCCTTGGCAGCAGTGGGTTTGTGGGTTTGGCTCCTGGTACCTCCAGAAGCTCCGTGTCAGTCTCACTTGTCCCGGCTGCTTCTGGCCTTTACTGGTTTCCTCTCTTCCCATAGTTCCATTCTGTGTAATGCCATCCCACCCCTCTTCCCACTATCCCGTTCCTGGTAGAGATGTGTAGGGTTTAGAACAGGAAGAGACCCTAAAGGTCATCTGGGACCGT